CAGCCGCTCCTAGGATTGCATTCACAACGACCAGCTTCCAAAAATCCCTGGGCAGTCACAGCTCTTGGTCAATGGGTGTGAGACAGAGGTATTGCAGACTGGCCTGGGTTGCCTGTTTCATTACAGCCAGATGCTCTTGGTCATGCTTTGGGTTTCTTTTGTAAGTCCCAGAGTGGATTTTTACTGAAACTAAGCTGGTAAAGCTTCAAATGAGGAGGAGAAAAAAAAGGAAAAAAAAAAATAAATGAGAGGAACTATTGCCTAGCAATGAGGAACACCCAGAAGCCAAGGTGAGAGCACTCACTGTGAGTGGGTATTAGTGCCTTCTGTTGACAGAGGCAGCACTAACAGCAGCCTCTGATTGCCCAGAAAGCAGCACTCTACAATGAATATTTCCATCTCCCAGGTAAGATTGCCCACTTGCCTCTCTGCCACCAGCTCCATCTCAGGGCACCACTGCTTCTGCAAGCAGGTGGCTGAGGAGAGGAGCCCAGCACCCCATGGTGCTGTCTCTCACCACCCCATGGTGCTGCCTCTCACCACAGGGTACCAGTTGCTTTTAGCAGCAGTGCCTTGGGATAAAGTGTCTCATTTTTGTCCACAGGACAAGGAATCTAGACTGGCAACACAGATATGAGGGAAAGGATGAGGGGGTGGACACCACAACTCCCATTCACACACAGAGACCGTGGGGCCCATCTGTAGGGCTGGGCTGTTGGTTCCCATATGTCTGTCTGTCTGTCAGGCTGTGAAATGACTCAGTACTCACCTCCCTCACAGGAGGCTCCCAGGTAAGATTGCCCACTTGCCTCTCTGCCACCAGCTCCATCTCAGGGCACCACTGCTTCTGCAAGCAGGTGGCTGAGGAGAGGAGCCCAGCACCCCATGGTGCTGCCTCTCACCACAGGGTACCAGTTGCTCTTAGCAGTAGTGCTGCAAGTGTGCCTTGGGATAAAGTGTCTCATTTTTGTCCACAGGACAAGGAGTCTAGACTGGCAACACAGATATGAGGGAAAGGATGAGGGGGTGGACACCACAACTCCCATTCACACACAGAGACCGTGGGGCCCATCTGTAGGGCTGGGCTGTTGGTTCCCATATGTCTGTCTGTCTGTCAGGCTGTGAAATGACTCAGTACTCACCTCCCTCACAGGAGGGTCACTCACCTCACTGGGCTTTGAATCAAAGAGCAAAAGAGATTTGCAAGACATCGTGTGGTCCTTCCCTAAAAGCCTAATAAAATAACAAGAGTGCATAACAAGGTGATATATTTCTGGGTCTTGGGAGTCTTACAGTACCTTTTATTTATCTTAATCTGAAATACATAGGATGGGATGCGTTATGTATATAAAATACATAATAAGATTATATGTTAAATACATATAAGATGGGACCAAACAAAGAACTGACAAAAAATGTAAGCTTCACTTCTGATTATTGGAAGGAATCTCAGTTTCATCACACAAATGTTGTGATGTCCTGGAGTGTGAGTTCACTGGTTTTGTAAATACACTTAGCAAACAGGGCAATAAACATTGCACTGTTGAAAGAGCAGGGCAAGAGCATTGCTGAAGCCTTATGAACCATTATGAAAATTGTGAACAGATGTTACAAGTTGTGCTAAAAGATGTATTTTTCCTATATCAAGAATGCAGGAAGACTTTTGTCTTAAAATCTTCTATTTTGAGAGAGAGAAATGATCCAGATCTCAAACATCTTTCATCTTTCTACAAAAAGGAGCAGGGAACAGCAGACCAAAGAGAGATTTTTACATGCAATACTGTTTGTTTAAACTAGCATCATTTCTTAAATCCACATTTTTTCCCAAGGCCAGACATTGCTTCTGCAGCTTGTCCAGTTGCTTTTTCTACCCCATCTTGTGCTGCCTTCGAAGCCTTGTCAATAGCTGCAAGAGAGGGGAAAAATATGAGCAAAAAGCTTGGAAAATGCAACGTGGTTTCATATTTACAATGGAAAGAGGAACTGTGAAAATGATTGGAATATAAAAACATAGAGATATATCTTTATTTTAAAAAAAGGATTATCCACAGGTGATTATAGTTGAGTTTGGCAGGATATATTTAGGATGGGCTGCAAAACAGGAGAGGTCCCTTGGAAGCTTTGGGTGCTGAGCTGAAGTGGTAAGAGATGAATGATGAGACAAAGCTGCAGCAGATTGACTGGTTCAAGTCTAACCTGGCTGGTGGAGGAGGGTGCTTTGGGCTGGGAAATGCTGACAATCCTGGGAAGGTCAGCACACAAAAAGGACAATCTGTTCAGGTGATAGGGAAGGTGAAAGATGCTTTCCCCTCTCTTCCCTTTTCCATTGTGTATTTGAGGGACTGCCCATGAGGGCTGTGCTCAGTCATGGGCTGTGGGTGCAGGGTCACTCCTGGGAGTGGGAAACCCCAGCAGGGGTTCAGCAGGAGCGAGGAGCCCCT